GTTAATCAGTCGTCTCTCATTGGTCTTCAAATGGTCCAAAATTCTGCGGCTCGTCTTTTAACAGGTACCAGGAAATTTGATCATATAACCCCAGTACTGGCCTCTCTTCACTGGCTTCCAGTCCGTTTTAGAATTCATTTTAAGCTATTGATTTTTGTTTTTACGGCTCTTAATGGTTTGGCACCGCCCTACCTCGCTGAATTGGTGTGAACCTACAAGATTGCTCAGATCATCAAGCCAGTTTCTTTTAGAGGTTCCCAGGACCAGATACAAACGCTGGGGTGACCGTGCTTTTACTGTTCCTGCTCCCAAATTATGGAATGGTTTACCTCTCAGCGTTCTATCATCTACACACTTGACATCTTTTAAATCATTGGTTAACACATATTTATTCACTTTGGCTTTTAATACATAGTAATGTCTGATTCTTCCTTCTTTTAAATGTTGATTCTGTGTAATTCATGTGTTTATGTTCTTATGTTGTTTTAATCCTCTATTGATATTATTTATTTCAGTTTTTACCTTTCCCTTGTAAAGTAATTTGGTCAACCAGATGTTGTTTTTAAAGTGCTATATAAATAAATTTTGATTTAAAGGTTTTCAATTGTGGATTCAGCTAAAGGCCCATGTAGCTGGAAAATCTGACCCAGAGGCTGTGCTCTCATCTTTGAGCAGAGAGGATTAGGCAAATTAAATAATTACATAACCATGTGTGAGATATTTGCAGTTTTGATCGTGATCGCAACTTTCCAATGCAAGATTACACCAATGGATAAATGATGCCGTTTGCCAGAGAGATTATGTGCGATGAGCTTTATATAGCCTTGTGTGACACTGGAATAGTGTTGTTTGCTACTACTTGTTTGAATACTGCAGTCAGGAATCACAGTGGTTTTGGAGATTGCAAACAGAGGTCACATCAATTAGGCCTGAGGGGACAGGTGACCTGAGAGAAGCTTGCTGCTTGAAGGCTGAAGCCTGGACACAAAGTCTAGGCTGTTAAGTGTGTGTTCGTGTGTGTTCATGACAACACTGTCCTTCAGAGTACTACAGTATCGACAGGTTGACTCATCACTGTATCACCCAGTGTCAACATACTGAACATTTCACGTTTCTGTCTGCACATAAACTGTCTCAGTATAAACAGAGTGTACTTTTTAGGGTCATACTCACAGTGCCAATGCGGTGGCCGGCTTTTAGGGCACAGACAAAGGTGCCAGTGCCTTGCAACATGGTACTGACGCAAGACTGAGGGGCATGAAGTTGATCCCTGATGGTCTGGCTGACCGTCGGCATATAAGGCAACAGCATCACTGACAACAAGCAGGCGATATTCACAGAGACTCCAGTCACTGTGCCTGCACGCTGCCTGGAAAAGACAAACAGAAAAGCATCAGTCAGTCGCTCAGGCAGATTATGAGCTGGCTCTACATTCAAATATCTCTCTATTCTTAAAAATAGATTTTTATTCATTTAATCTATGCAAGATCAAATTCAAGTAGTCAGAAATACAGGAATGAAAGAGTGATTTTTTAGCATTGGGTGGTTAAGTCTCTGTTTTAATGTAGAATGATAATTTACACACTTGTGTCACAGTGAAAGCCTAACACTGAGATCCATCTACCTGGTAGGAAAGTACACAGACAGAGGTTACGTTTGCTGGTCAAGGCCATCTCACCTTTCTGTGCCTACTCCCTTGATCTTCTTCCAAGGTTCGTTGACTTGAATGTACTGGTTGCCATGGCGAGAGATGTTCAGGATGTGTTTCAGAGCATCACGGATTCTAGTGAAATATTTCAGAGCAAACTGAGTGATAGCGTGCCAAGGGCAGTAGACCAGTGTTAAACTAAACATAAAGAAGTTGTCCAATTAAAGGTTTATCTACTGATACAAGAAAGTTTACCTTTAGTTTCAAGATAGATGTCCAAATGATGCAATTACCAGATTAAACTGACAACTTATAAATATACATTTAAAATCACCAAAACAAAACATGTAAAGTTAATTAGTCTTACTTGACTTTGTCCATGAGCTGGATGTATTGCTGCAGCTCCCAGCCCACCAGAGCCAGGAGCTTCTTATCTTCTTGCTGTAGCTCCACTGCAGGAACGCAGCCCTCAAAGAATTTAGTGACAAACATGGCAGCTCTGCAGGAGAGAGGGAGAAGGGGGTTTGAATGAGATGGTCAAAAACAATGGGGTCAGGGAAAAATGTGAAAACAGAAAAAGAAAAAAGCGTTGAGAGAGAACAGACAAAAAGGAGAGAAGGGCATGTTACCTGACTTAATTGTTTATAAATTATAGATTTTGTTGCCAGATGTAATACAGTGCTTTGCTAGTGTGAACTAACATAATGGTGTTCTGCAGTGAGCTTCTTCACAGCTCCTTCACCGCCTCTAAATTGTGTCCGGAGCCAGTATTTTTTTTAAATGAGTTATATGTGCACATCAAGGGGATGTTCATAGTGAGACAGTTTCTGTCATGTCTCATGCAACATACTGTTCCATATTTCCATATCTCTCAGCCTCTGAGGAAGATTTACTAGATGAGAATGCTTTGACATGACAAATGTATTTATTTATACCAGATATGAAATGAAATGTAATTGTGATGTGAGCATGAACTTTGTGTGACCTGCATTCTTGTTTTTTTAATTAGTGAAACTGCCAAATTCTGACCCCCCCCCCACATGAATCACTGTAACAGCTCCCAGTCTCAGTTCAGGAGGTAGACACCCTCTCTAACTTTATGATTAGACCTATGACATTCCTTTTTCTGATAAATATTCAGGTCACCTCTGTTCAGGTGACCCGGAGCCTTTCATTATACTTATTATACAAATAAAAGTGAATTGAATTGCTAATATTAAATGTTAAGGATTTACCCATTTTGGTTTGCCAAGATGATTAATTATGAAATTGTCAACAAAATGTTTTGACTGAACAGCAATTAGCTGGAACACCACATCCCAGGATTCTTTATGAATCTGAAAAAGTGGGCATAAGATGGACACATTGTTGCTAAAGACGTAATGATTTAGTGACTGGATCCAGACAAGGACAAAAAGCAGAATACTTTCTACCTCCAACATCCTAGGCTGGATGCAATCTGCAAGATATTTTTGAACCGATTCGTCATCAACGTTGCCTCCCGAGACCAACTGTGAGCAAGGTGAATTTCCCCACGTTTTTATCTCACTACTAATTAATGAGGAAAATAAATAAATAAAATATAAAGAAACAGCAACAAAGAATATCTCTGCCAGGAAACAACTATCATTTGGATTAAACAAGCTAGAAGGACTTTTTTTTAGAACAACATCTAGGGGTCACTGGGGCAAAGTTGAACTCTGAACTAAGTCCGTTTCTCACTGATAAAGTAAATTCTACTGGTTGCTTACAAGCAGGAAGTCATTTCAAAACATACAGCCATTACCAACCTGTTGATGAAATTGCCCAAGTTGTTGAGTAACTCAGAGTTGTTCTTCATAGCCATGTCAGCCCAGGAGAAGGCTGAATCCTGTCCCTCTGGGCGCACATACAGCAGGTAGAAGCGCCACACATCAGACGGGATGTCTGTGTCCATCGCCATGTCTCCAAACACACCCACGCCACGGCTCTTGGAGAACTTTGTGTCCTCATAATTCAGATATTCTGTGGGGAAGTTGCAGCATGCATTACTGTCAAAGCTGAACTGTAATATGTAGTACGAACGTAATCATTCATGATGTGTGTTGCTTAACTGCCAAACAGAATGTGTGGCTGTGCCATTACCATTTTAAGATCCGCTGTGAATCTCAGTATTAGTCTAATAACATAAAAGATGAATAATTAATCAGCTGTTCAAATCAGTCAACTGACTGAAGTGCTTACCAGTGGCAACCAGGTGGCTGACCAGAGTGTAGTTGTCTTGAGCTCCCAGTAGAGAGCAGGGGAACACCACGCTGTGGAATGGCACATTGTCTTTGGCCATGAAGTTGTACAGCTCCACCTGGTGGCAGACACACAACAATGCATTGTGAGGATGACATCATATTAGATCATCATGAGATCATCCATTTCAAAGATGGCTTATCAGCTCTCCCCTACCCTCATCTCCCAACTACAGGCCATCACACACACACACACACACACACACACACACATAAGAGAGCTCAGTTCAGTCCTGGAGCTGGAGATGGAGAGAGATGAGATGTGTTAGTGAGAGTGAAGGCGATATGTTAGATTTTTTTTTTTTTTTTTTTTATCTAAAAGGCTTAAGACTGTTTATTCAAGATGCAATCACATTAAGTCTAGTGAAGTGATAAGTAACTATCAAACACATTAACATTTGTTTCTGTATGCGTAGGAAGTGAAGTGATGTGATGTGAAATAAAATATAAAACTCATCTGTACATACATGATGCCAAATAGTTCCCCTTTCCTAAGTAAAGCATCATGAACAACAAAAAGCAAGAAAAACTAGGGCAGACTGCTCAAATCTCAAAAATCTGTACTGGCTTGCACAATGTACTGTGTATCTAAATCTGAATATGCATTGTATTCAAAATCAAAGAGGCTATGTCTTCCTCTGTTTTACATTAGGGTTAGATGGTGCTAGGAGAGTGCAAAAGAGCAGATGGGGCAATGAAAAACACAATCAAACCCAATCTGTGTTGTAACAAAATCTGTGCCAAGCTTGTGCATCAGTACTCTGCATGGCTCATAAATTCTGTCATTATGTTTGATGGGGGGGTGGGGGTGATACCTGCTGAGGATTCTTCCACCACTTTTCCCACTTGTCTGTGTACTTGGCAGTAATGGACAAATAACCAATGGGGGCATCAAACCACACATAGAACACCTGTAGAGGCAGAAAGACAGTCATGAGCGACAAAGAATGCATTTGTTAATCATTTTTGGAATGCTGCTGAAAAAAAAGAACACAAAGATGATGAGAAATGCAAAAAGATATTCTTAATATACACTATGATGTGGATATAATTACTGATTATAACTGTGAATGTGAACTCAAATGTCCTCACGCCTTAGTGTGTGTGGGATCAAGTTTCAGTGGTGTTTCAACATGTATAGACATGCCAGACTGAGGAAGCCTCCCAGTGAAGCACGGCAGGGTCATCACTCACTGCAGCATTTGCAAACAATTAATGAATTGTATAGTCATTTTCAATGTTTAAATAGGAGCCTGACCTTTGATCTTAAGTATGTGCATTTGTTGTCTTCTTAGCAGGTAACACAGCTAAGCACTAGAGATTTAATAATATGTTTAATTTAAAGTGATGGTAAATGGTCTTATACTTGTATAGCGCCTTCCTACGCTTTTTTACAGCACACTCAAAGCGTTTTCACATTATTCGGCCATTCACCCATTCGCACTCCCAAGCACTCACACACCGGTGACATCACCGGGAGCAACTGGGGGTTCAGTGTCTTGCTCAAGGACACTTCGACATGTTGACTGGACAAGCCGGGAATCGAACCACTAATCCTCTGGTTAGGAAACGACCCGCTCTACCTCCTGAGCCACAGCCGCCCCACTTAAAGCTTCATTTAAAGTGATATGAGCATCTTTTCTGCTGCATGCAGGAATACCTAACTAACACAAGCAAATGCTATGCTATTGCACAGCAATAACTAATGTGGAAAACTAGGTTTTATTATACTGTATATGCCGAAACCAGACCTTCTCTTTAAAGTCAGGGTGAGGTACTGGCGTTCCCCACTGCAGGTCCCTCGTGATGCAGCGAGGCTTGAGTCCATCTCTCAGCCACGAACGAGTGATCTGTTTGGCATTTGCTGTCCAGTGTCCTGTGCTGGTCGATGTATCCAGCCACTGCTTCAGCTGAGTCTCTAGCTGCATAGGAGAAAGAGGGAGAAGGAAAATGCTGACAAAACCACTCACACATCTTAACTCTAAACTACGGCTCTAGAAAGAGTAAAGTTACTTTTACTGAATAACAAAAGAGTAAGGTAATTTTTACTGTATAATAAAATTACCAAAGTGCAATCTGACAACTAGACTTTCTGTCTTCATCCTTGTGCCCAAAACACCCTCTGAACTGTGAAATGGACAACCAAAGGAATTACAATGCAGTATGACAAACATACCTTTGGCAGATCCAGGAAAAGATGTTTGGAGGAGCGGATGACAGGAATCTGCCTGCAGACTTTACACTGGGGTTCCTGGAAAAGACCACAGTCAACAGCAATCAACTGGTTTGGCTGAATGTAACAGATTTTCTACCTGGATATGCAAATTGGTATTTCTTTTCTTTGAAGCTCAAACAATTTCAATTTTTAGACCCCATTTTTTCAGGAGGTGAATTTTTCCCACAATATATATTTACAAAAACTAATGAAAGTGATATTCTAGACTGCACCATTATTTTAAGAGTCATCAATGGCTGTGATCACCAGAGACTAATCATTTCAAACATCCCCTTGCCCTTTATAATCACTTGAAATCTTCTCCACACTCACCCTGAGCTCCACAGCATTGATGAGGCGCCCACACTTGTCACACTGATCACCACGAGCTTCTGGGTAGCTGCAGTGAGGACAGGTGCCTTCTACGAAGCGATCGGCCAGGAAACGCTGACAGTTCTCACAACGTAGTTGTTCCACCGTATCTTCCACTAGGAAACCATGGTTGTGGAGTCGCCAGAAAATATCCTGGGCTATTCTGGAAGAATAACAGAGGGAAGAAGTAGGTGAAGGCTTCTCTGGGGGTCCTGTCTGTGCAGGAGACAGATTTTGGTCTTTTGACCTGTGTTAAAGATGTATGAACACAATGACAATTGCCTTATGTGGGGTCTAACCAGTCATTAAAAACTGACCACATTTTTGCTTTCCACCTCAGAGTGACACTGCCCTTACACACTAGTTGGACAGAAAAAAAAAAAAACACTTCCTGGGTCAGTCTAGTTAGGTACTTAAAATAGAGCACTACACTAGAAAAGGAAGATAAAGGGATGAAAAATGAAAAAACAAATCTGGTTATGGATTGGTAAACCTAAAATGTAACATCCAAAACCATGTTCATAAATCAAGTCAAGTCTTTCATCTGTGAGCTAGTTAATTTTTCAGAGAACACGGTCCTGGTGCATGGTGTTTGATGCCTTTTACTACATGTACTCTATCAGAGCAAAAGCCCCAAAACAAGAGTTCTTATCTTTGCAATCCTTTCTGCAAGCACTAGGATTTAAGTCTAGTCTATACTGAAAAAAGTGCCTCTCTTTTGTTCCTCGTTTCCATGTGTAAATAGGTAAACCCAGCAAAGAGCATCTTACTGCATTCTATTTGAATATTTAAATAAAACCAGTTTAGTTCATGTGTGTTCTACCAGTGTTTGACTAATTCATGGGTGACACATCAGATGTTCTCTAAACACTTCCCCTTAACTACACAATTAAAACAAACAAATGTCATTTCTTTGTCTGATTTCTATTCTTCAGCTGGTGAACCTCTGAAAAGTAAGCAATAACCCACATCGCACAGTCATGCTCAATAATCTGAGATTAAGTCAAGCAGAATTTATGGTTGAGAGGGTTGATGTCAATAAGATTATAGTAATCCTTTGTTACATAATATGTTATAGTGAGTATGTGTAGTTTTATGAAAATGTATGTGTCCCTTCATAACAAATCCAAACAGTATCAGAGACACAGTGTGGTCAACCATAGTGAAGACCTGAGCTTTTAATTACCTGTTTAGTTTTATCGTTACCTTTTTTGTTATCTTGTCTTTACTATTTCACATATCAGTAGATTGAATTTTTTCCCACTGCTTACCCTGATAAGGTCAACTAACTTACTCTGTCTGCTTCTCTGTGGTGGTTCTACCAAAAAAGTCAAAGTCAATCTGGAACCACTTATAGATGCTGGAGTGAATGACATGGTATTTGTCACAGATCTGCTGCGGTGTCATGCCCTCCTCTCTGGCCTTGTTCTCTGTAGCTGTTCCATACTCGTCTGTGCCACATACATACAGCAGGTTCCAGCCTCGCAGCCGGCCATACCTTGAAGAAAATGATAGACAGATGAAGTGGGACAAGAGATAAGACAGATGTGGAAAAGAAAATAAGGAAATGGAGAAAGACATGAAAAATATAAGGGGCATAGGGAAGATATGTTTAAGGTATAAGAATGTAAAAATGTGTTTGCTGCAAGGATCAGTGTTTTGTTCATGATTAACAGTATTTTTCTAGCACCTATGTACACAGAAAAGACAGAAATTCCCACCTGGAAAAGACATCAGCACTGAGGACACAGCCAATGATGTTCCCCAGGTGGGGAACATTATTGACATATGGCAAGGCACTGGTCACCAGGATGTTTCGCTTGCCCTCCTGTGGCAAACTGATAAGAGGAAAACAGAAGTAGTTTGAATCAGCCTTAACATAACCCTTGTCCAAGAGTCCACATCTTCATGATCAAATATAACACCCTAAACTACAACATGCAACACACACTCACTGCAAGACACTAATATAATTATCCGCTTAACGTCTAAATAGAAAAATGGCAGTTGACTTACATAGGGTGTTGTTTTTCCTTAGACAGTGGGTCAGCATTCAAACCTTTGCTCCACTTGAGGGCAGCTGCGTTCATGTCCTCTTCAGAAACCACACGCTCTCCCTCTTCCTCTCCACACTAAATAAACATAAAGATATAAAAAACGCATTAACTAGGAATTAAACTGAAACCAACATGCAAGATTGGTAATCTCCCACAGTGTACGCATTTTAATCCTGCTATTTTTCCCATTTTACTGTGTGTGAGATTATCACTGTGGGAAGAAACAAGGGCTTACATGCGTTTCCAGGCCCTAAAAATAATTTCAGAACTTGTACAGTTTGCTCAACAAACACACAAATGTATTACCACTCGAAAAAAAGTTTTAGAGAGTCACTGCAGTTTGTGCACAAAAAGAAAAAAGGCTACAGTGCAATAAAGACAGAAAGGAAATATGTGACAATACATGTCTTGGTGTTTTGTTTGTGCATCAATAGCTTGTAAAAAAAAAATATAAGAGACAATACATTTTCTTAGAAACCTTACAGGGCTTCCTGAGGTATAGGCACATATGTAATCACCACCTCTGAAAGCTTTTTGTTCAGTAACAATGTTTTAAGTCTAATAGTTATTCTGATGATCTAACGGATACCTCAGCAGGGCTGCTGTTGCATGGCTGTGTGTCTCTGCACTGGCTACTTTGAGGGGCAGGCTGCCTCTGCATGTAGCTCTTCATGCCCTGCAGGCCTTTCCCCTGCAGTACTTTCTGAGCAGCAGACTGGCAACTGTGCATAGCAGCTACATGATCAAACCAAGCCTTCACAGACTTGTGTTTGCCTGAAAAAAGAAAAAGGGGCAGGGAAATGGTAAGGGAGAGAAAGGGGGGAAAAGGCAGATAATGAAAGTGATGGGTTGTGGTAAGGATTATTTGAACACAGAGAAGGAAAAACCTGAGAATAAAACATTTGAAGATAAAAGAAAGACTGGAGGTGAGTGAGGTAAAAAGACAATAAAATTGATAAAATCAAAACAGAGAGGATGTTGAAGTATTTAAAAAGGTAACAACTAGCTGGACAATTTGAAGTTTATTAGTACTTACCCAAAACTAGTGAAGAGTCAGATAAAACAGGACACAGGGCAGCCCACAAAACAACATCAGCAACTGATACAGCTTCCTAAAGATAACAGTTAAATGAACATCATTTTTTAAAGAAATTAAAACACTATTCCTGAAGTAGACAGGTGCCCTTTCCAGTCATCTTATCAAAAGCCTAAATGATTTTTAAAAGCCTAAATAATGCAGAAGAGCAGTCCACCTGAGTCCCTGTGACTTTCCATAGAACAACCATGAGGAAAAATATTATCAGCAAGGTTGTTCTGCATGCTTGCATCTCACTAAAATGGACATCTATGTGTGTAAAACCATGCTCGCCTCACTGTAAGCACAGGTCTTCTTTAGCATTACACAGGTTTCCTCCTAGCCATGCTGATCACCAAGAGACTTAACAAAACATATTCCTGTACATATGACTGCATCTGTCATATACTTATATGACAGATGCAGAAGGCTTGTTTCCACAGGGGCTGTAAATACCACAGAAAAATGATCAGCACCTCACACACACCCACACACATCGGCAAGCATAAGCAAACTACTCCCCACATGAATCCTTTTAACTTAAAAACGCATCACTAGCTCAGCATTAGCAACTGAAAAAAGAAGAAATGAAAAAGAGATGTTGCCAGAGGAGCCCAATGTGGCACAGAGGACGTTCTCTGTTAAACTTCCTGAGGCGCTGTGAACTTTTGACTTATATTATATAGACTGAAAAGTCCTTGTTTAATTGAGTACATTTGTCTTTATCTTATAAATGTGTTAGCAGAGTATATGGCAGCTACATGGGCAGCTGAACAGGAGATTTTTATACTGTACCCCAATTAAATATGGTGTGTTCCCATTGTTCAAGCTTTGGTCCAAGAAGTTTAAGGGCCCCTGGAGGACCTGGGACACTTCTGATCCTTTTCCCTGCAGAACTGCCATGTGAAGTGCCTCTGCCAGTGCAGGCTGCACAAATAAAACAGAATAGAATTGGGTAAATGACATTAGATCCAGCAGTAAACCCAGTGTGACTAAAGCTAAACAATACATTCCCTTGCACTCTACCTACATAGAGCATGCAGGTGGCTTTCTTGCTACTAGTTTATGTAAACAGTTTTTTGAGTCTTAAGCCATTAGCTGTATGGATTTATGCCTCCCTTTGGTAACAGATTAAAACATCTCAAAGAGTTTTTGTGTATTGCACAACAAATTACCAGCAAACTGAGAGGCCTGCTTTTTTATTAAGAGCTTACCTGAAGATGTGTGGCCTCCCATTCAAGCCACTGGTTGCAAAGGTCACTGGATTCTTGTCCATTTACTTCAAATATGTATCTAATGTGTTAAAAAGCCATGGAAAAACAAAGGTAGTCCTGTCAGTTTCATCTGTTAGCTTTATCTTTGGGAAATAGTGTGCCTGTACACTATCACTTTTACTAAAATTTCATAAAAATCTAACATCTCAGTAACCATGGTTGACCTTAGATTACATTATTATCTTAGCCTAATTAAAACAATACATTGCAAGATCATTATGATCCATACATGTTTCACTGCAATGATATAATTACCACTAAAACAAAAAAAGGGTTAAAAGGATCAGTTCACCTAAACTACAACAGAAACACCTTGGTTTAACACCACTAAGGATGGCACCTAGCCATGTAGATTGTTTGCTTTTATTTTGCTTATGTTGGATTTGCAGGTTTTGAGATATAGCTCTCAAAGATATCTGCTGCCAATGCAATACAACCAATGTAGAGATGCACCAACACAGTAAGGGAAATATTTTTATTGTCGAACCCAACCTTGAAGATTTTCATAATATGAAACATTATACAGAGGCAGTGATTAATAACCTCCACATTCATGCCAACCAGGCAGGACTATATCCACTTTACTGACCGGCATATGGCATTAGGGCTGAAAAGGTGCCGTCCACTGGGCAAGAGCAGGGCTGGCAAAGCTGGACGGCTCAGGAAGGGCACTACTCTCTCTGAAAAAAAAGATAACACCAAATAAAATGCACATAACAGTATATGTTTTTATGCAGATGGTCATGTTTCTGGATTAGTCAGACTGATTTCTGTGTTGTTAATGAAATCTGGTTGGAACGTTGCTACATAATGTGACGTCTGTGGTTTTGAAAGAAAAAGCCTCAACGTTTTAAAGCAGGTTTGATTTACTCAGTTCTGGGCAGAGATTGTATTTGAAGTCAATAGTGCATTTGATTCTGGATTCATTCAATAGTATATATCCAAGGAGAACTAATAGCATGACAATCCTCAGATTTTCTGCAGATAATCCTTTAATCAAATTCCCAGCCTCAATATTTACTACCTGAATGGGCTATGAGGAATACAATCATTGGAGGTTGAGGATTTGTTCTTCTTTATCTGAGGGATTTCTGATATTAAATTTTATATACGTCTTTACTTTCATAGTTTAATTTCTTATATGCACCTTAACAGATGGATTCAGAGTAGACCTTGTATAAAACAGTGGATAAATAATAACATCATCTCAGTTCAACACAGTACTAATGTGTTCAAGGAATTTTTCAACAAAGAGACATGTATTATTCATCCTGGTGGACTGGTAAGAAACAATCCAAGTCTTTAAGAATAATAAGTAGGTACGAGTATGTACAGACCACATGAACCAGTAGTATTGTGTCCTAAGGATAGTCAGTTCAAAATAACAGGCAACATTAGACTCATTGTTTACTTTAAATGTGGATCTGAAATTAGTCACATTATCATTTATGGTCCCAATACCGTCCTACATCTTTACAATATGTCTTGTGGCTAACTATACAGTGGTAAACAAAGGCTAGGCGAAGCTGCAAAGACACACACTGTTAACACAAGACAAACAAAGCAGTGAAGTGTGGTAAGAGACCTTTCTAGCTGCTTTTTAGATAGAGATACAGGTAGACTCTTCACTCTACTGACCATGACACTGGTGTTCATTTAGCTAATGGTACAGATAGCTTGCTATTCCATTGTAACAACCGTCAGTTACAGCACAACTCCAATTTAACAAAGCTAAAGTTACATTTATTAATTACACGGTGCCGTTTTTAGCAAGCGACAACTGTTACTGGTTTTAATGACAGTTTACCTGAGAGCTGAATATAAAGCTAACCATGCTTTCTCTTACCTTCGTGGTTGACATAGTGGACGTCACACTGGACTCCAGTCACCTCTAACGCACATAACACCTTCAGGCACTGCGGGTTTCCCTCACTTACGAAGAGCTTCATTTGGTAGCTATGTTGGAACCGATGAATAGCTTTGACGATGGCAAGAGCTGCACTTTAAAACAAGTAGGCAGCTTGTATTCGTAACTTTGCCGGCCACTCGTGTCACCACACGCTGATGCAAGCACTGTTGAGTCCGTAACAAATGGTGGAGTTGTAGTTTTAGAACGCAGTCGCTGTCGTTCCAGGAAACTGTTACGACCTACTTAAAAAACTACAACTCCCAAAACTACTTAGAGAGACGCATTTTTGAGGGAACCGTGGGTTTGCTTGATTTTATTTATAACGTAGTGCCGCCGGGCGGAAATCGTGTCTCGTGTTTGTGCATTTCACAACGGGCGGTGTGTTGTATATAAATATGCGCACCTAAGCGCTGCCTGTTTTGATTGGTTCCATGTAAAAGTACATTTCGCGATTGCAGCCAATCTTAAGCCACAAACCACCAAACAGCGCAAGCTGTTTTCGATCCGCTTAAAGATCCAGTGCACATGCATGACTGTTAAACGGCGGAGTTATTTTATTTAAACTCTGTGAAGTTCTCTGTATTTTTATTCTTTTTTTTTTTTTTTTTTTACCGGAAAAGCGTAGCAAACTCAATAGGACGCAACTCCTGCACTCTGCGGTCCACTCCAAAACACAACTGAACCGCAAGTCGCTGCATGGTGAGCGATGTTGATGCTGTGTCTCAAATACAAAGATTAGATTTTTGCAGAATTGTGTAGCCAGCAAAAATATTATTGCCGAAAATTATGCAAGGTAAGTTATGTCTGTTGTGGCCTATTACTATTTTAATCTGTTGTAGGTTAGTGTTAGTGTAAATAAGTTTTGACATTAATTAAAATTATTAAGACAAGTGGACTCAAATATAGTAGAGATTTAGAGTTAAGATAAATGCATTTTCAGGTGTTGGATCACATTTTACTACCTACCACATATGGCTACAGCTCAGTGATGCTAATTTCATTGGCAGTTATGACAGAACTAACATAATCAGTATGAATAAGAGTATCACAGTGTATCTTGATCTTTTTACTTAATAATCACCTTTCATCTGTGCATTTATGGACATTGTCTACACTTTATTTTGAAAGATGCATTTGGTCTTATTAATTTTAAAGCTAAAGCTTTGTGTGTTCGGCCTATTGTAAAGTTTGTGTAAAAAGTTGTAGGCCAGTAATATTTGGCAACATATTAAGTCTGCATCCTCAAATATATCACAGAAGTTGTACAGTTACTAAAATAACAAACCTGCCTTTTCCAAAACAGCTTAGTTTTCCACATCGTAGTGTCTAACTACATGTAGCCTACACTGGCACTACCTCTTAGACTCAGCTGGGCCACTGAGACAGAGCCACAAAGGGCCAACTTAGACCTACTATGCACTTACAACACTAACCTCCAGTCATTTCCTGTGGAAGAACTCTACACGTTTTAGAGTTTCGGGTTAAGCGCCTCCTCACCTGCACCTTTTACTTTTCATATTTTTCTTTTGCTTTATGTATACCTTGTCCTTCTGACAATGATGCATTCTCACATATTTCATTATGATGTTGCCTCTATAAAGTATTTGTCGCCTCTTTAAATGTCAGACTGATAAGAATGACTGATCTGAACACTTTACATATTACACCTCTTGTCATGTGGAAATATTTGCATGCTTATGTGAGTGAGTTAGCCCTTGTGTTTCACAGAAAGTCCACTGGATGGGTTAACCACAGGGTGTGATGTTTGACTGACGCATTGTATTTTTGATACTCTTTCTTAAGTCCATGCAAACATTTGCTCCCTTTCTCACCCTCCTGTAATGACACAGGCTTGAAAGATTATTCTTCATTTGCAAGTTTGCTGATTAAAAATGCCCTGTACCATGTGTCATGTTAGCAGGAGGGTTATAAGTTCACAGCAATTACTAGTGTGCCCAACAGATTGCATTTGTAGATGTGTTTGTGGATAAGACTGAGTTTGACATGATTGTACGTTACTAGTCTGGGTGTTGTGCTACTCCAGGATGTTTGAGCAATTCTGTGAGGTCTGTCTTTTTTTTGTGTGTGTGAGCTGCAAGCCTGCTTGCTTGCATGTTGTCAGTTGTGGAGCAAATTCATGCAGTAGCAGATCACAAGGTGCGGTAAAACCTCATTTCATCTACTTTATACTATACAGACCAAGTGAAATCTGTAACAACTGGCCCTTCAAAACAGTCCTACTCTGGCGCAACTGCATATTTTGTTTTTTTGTTATTGTTTTACTGGCTTGTCTCTTTTGGATTTCTAAACTTTTCTAACCTCTGAACTCACTTTATTTTTAAATGAAAAAATTTGCATTAGAACTAAAACAGTTTGAGACGATTGACAGAAAAATGATCAGTAGCTATTTTGATAATTGATTAAACATTTTGGCCGCTTTTCAAGTAGCGAAACAATGGTACATAATCGCTGGGTTCATCTTTTCAGATAGGAGGATTTTCTGCTTTTATTCATCATACGTCGTTGTAATTCAAACATCTTTGGGTTTTGGAGTTTTGGTCCGACCAAAGAAGGTTTTAAGAAGATTTTAGTTTTTTGGCTCTCTTAAGTTGTGATGTGCAATCTTTTTGGATGTTTGTTTTTGTTTTGTTTTCTTTTGTTTTGTTTTGTTTTTGACATTTGGACCAAGTGATAAATCAATTAATAAAACAAACAATCAGCAAATTCACATTAATCTGCATATGCATTTAAGGAAAAATAGAAGCAGATTCATTCTTAGAAATAACAGTTGCCTTGGATACTTGAATTAACAAACCAGAAGGCACCATGATTAACACTCCTCTAAATTTGACATGAACACTGTGTGTGCTACTTCAGCTGCACAGAGCTGAAAGTGGGTCTGTGACTTACCTGACAGCTTTTGACAGCTCACTCTCATCCCCAGTGGATCAATGCAGCTCAGCGCTTTTCATTAGAAACATCAATGTACCGCACGTTCCCATAGGCTCAGCAGCAACCCACCAGCCCATTCGGAGAGTGAAGGCTTTTATTCAATTCTCATTTTTGACTTCTATGTGACATTTTATTTTATTCAGTTGGAAACTGTTGTAGGAATACAGTGAATGAGGGAAAACCTAATAAAGGTCAAGTGTTTATTTGTCATATGCACAGTTAGGAAACGTGTTTCACTGTACAATGAAATTCTTACTTTGCCGTCCACATGAATGCCACATACAAGTGAAATATAAATGAGCAATAACACAAATCTAAATAGTCAGTAACACATGTAATAATATGCTTCTCATGAAGTGATTAATATAACAAGGAAATAAATAAATGTCTTCAGATAGCTCTGTGTAATTTTAGTTGTTTGGGGAATGACATGAACGACGAAATTTTAATGTAACCCGTCATTCCTATTAGTAAAATGATAATAGTAACAAAAACAAATAGAAAATTCACTTGACCTTTTAAGTCAGTTTTCAATAAAACATTCACCTTTTCCATTTTATTACATGGGCAGATTTGTAGCTTTTTTTTTGTTTTTATATCATTGTCAACTGGATATCTTTTGGATTCAACTTGTTTATTGGACAAAAGAAGCAATTTGGGCTCTGGGAGATCACTCAATTTTTCTATAGTTAGAATTCAAAATGCAGCCCATATTCCTACAGTATATTGTAGTCTAATATTAACGAATCCAAGAAAATGATCTTGGAAAGAAAAACCATGTCAGGTAATTGTTTGAAACTTAATGCTGCAGTGACCACCCTGCTACAGTTTATACCTCAGTTGGAAAGTAAAATCATAAAATGAGACATGATCTTTTATGCTGTATTTGTCATACATAAGAAAACTACTTATTCATATAAGAAGATTTTCTTCTCAAGCTTATTTCTCATACTAAAACAAGCTTATTATTGTTTCACCAATAGAATACTAGCAGCATGTTTTCACTTTCCCTCCTTTTTTGTAAAAAATGTATAAGCTAATTAAAAATGTGATGCTTGAATTAATTCTTTCAAGAGTTTAAAATTCCCCCTGAGCCATTCAACACTACTTTGCCTAACTAGCAAACACTGGTCTGTCTGGTTGTTGTTTATATTTTAATAAGAGAAATGAGAATTTGAATATCATAAAAGTGAGCTCTCTAAAGAAGTTTGATGCAGGCTGCAGGATCCATGGTAAACGTGTGTATTGCATCAGTAAAAGCTTGAAATGATGCCATCACACATATGAAACATTACGTGCAACAAGAAACAGAAATAGAACACACATACTGGAGATAGTTAGTGACTGGTTGGTCACAGATGTTGTTGTCATGATGGTCGTGGCAAGATTGAGCCAGTGGGTTTCTTACTGTCATCATCTGTGATTGATTGGCTCTCTGTCAATTTGCATGTCTAATCACTGAAGTTATCAAAACAATCTTTTTAGTCACATATACACTTACACTACATAAATAAACACACAGACATGCATCCACAGACATGTTGACACAGCCAGCTAGCCATCACAGTGGGAAACGCAGTGTGCGTTTCAGTGTTTCTCTCTGGCCTAGTCATCAATAATGCATGGCTTTGGGAGGATGAAAGGCTGTTTTGGCTTGAGGCATGTGTCTCATATGGGGGGAGATAGAGCGCTAGTAGTTATAACTGTACATCCATAGACAAAGTGAGTGCTCCTTCACATGGCTGTCTGCAGCAGATCTGCTTATCAGGTGAAGAGTGGACTGCTTTCAGGCTAAATGCTGAGATTAGTTAATTATTTAATATAAATGACTTGACCTTTTTCTGCAGCTCCATTCAGTTATTGATTACTAGCAGCTAAAATAAGTATGAAATGTTAAAGATCTTAAATCCATTTACCATTTGATCATTTAACATAATTCAGGTGAAGTTTAGATGAAGCCTTCTGTTTAGTTAAATTTTAGCAAATGTTCAAGGTACTTCTGCTCATTCAAAGATACTACAGTTCCTTTTACCCATAATGTATGACCGTATGATGTGATGCAATTCTTCACCTCACACAGACGACTTGACTACAAGTTGGGACTCAGACAGTTGAGCAGACAAACTTGGATGCTTGTTTGCATAAAGTTTGTCATGGTGGCAAGCTATATACGAGCTGTCAGAGCATAGCTTGTTCTTTAAGCAGCAGTCCTGTTAACTTAAAATGTCATACTTTTCTTCTTGTTTTTGTGGCGGTTAAAGCTGCTGAACAGCTGTGGTTCATGTGGAGAAACTTGTTTTCCTGTGAACCTTTTGGTTAGAGCCATACATATGGAAACGCTACTACAGTAGGCACTGCAGTCTGCATGCATCTCTGTGTGTTTGCTATGTGTACATGGATGTGGGACTGCATGCAAAAGCCCTTTGAAGTTCCTCATTCCCACTCTCTACCTCTTTCCCATGTCTCATCTCTCTTTGAAGATCATGTAGCTATGATTATTAAAGCTGCCCTCTTTCAACTATGGATTGAATATGGATATGATATAACACCACACGTTCACCCAATAACACCCTTCGCCGCACTCTTCTCCTGCTGTGTGTTTTAGCGGCCAAGTGAGCTAAAAAGTTCAGTCACTTGTCTTAGAGATGAGTCATTATTTCCATGTGAAATAGAGTTATTTGCAGTAGCTATGACAACCAGACTTACATAGAGCTACAGGGGAACATTGTAACTTCTCGTTTTTCTGC